CCAATACCGTATTGGAACATTCAGCAATAACACTTAGAAAAAACCCAAAAAACAAACCAACTAAGCAAACAAAAAACCCCAAAGAGCTAACTAGCTCTTATGGTTTAAAAGCTTTATAGTCTTATCAAAAGGACTAAAAAAAACCTACTTGTAAGCGCTTACAGTATACTGTCAGTAACTCTTATTCTACAAGCAGATCTGAAAAAAAAAAAAATCATCAGAAGATATTTCAACATCTCAACCACCTTGCGATAACTGAAAAATTTAGAATATGATTAGGTAATAGTTACGGCTAGTAGTCACCACAGGTAATGACAACAATCTTACTATATTTCAGCATTTTGTGATTTCAATAAAATATCCAAGTAAGTCAAAGAAGACCTCATATAGCACAGATTTACAGCAGCTTCACAACATACATTACAGAAAAGAAATAGAAAAAGGTAACGTGGATTTGTAGAAACATTCTCCACAACCTGATAGCCAAATTAACCCACCTTCTGAATTCCCCATGCCATCAGCAAATTCACATTTTACACCATAATGGAAAGTTAACTGCAACTACCACATGGTGAAAGCAGTACGTTTGAATTAAACTATTTTAACATTCTTTGAAATGGATCAGTGATGAGGCCCCTTTGTCTCTAGAATTAGCTGTTGGTAGATAAATACAAGCCAGTTAACTACACTGTTTCAAGGAACTCAATACCTGTCCATGTCATAGAGACATGGATGGGCGCAGTCTGCACGTTATACAAAGAAGGTAATATTCCCCATTCTTTTAAGTCATGTGGTATGCTGACATCTAGGTAGTACCTGTACACATCTTGATACACAGAAAGAACTAATCAGGAAAATCGGTCTCAAGAAACACCAGCATTCACCTTCCAATCAGAAAACCACTGAACTCTAAAGAGTAGTAAGAGAAGAAAAATGACAAAAATGAAACAAAAAATTCTCTCACACCTGGTATAAGAAACAAGCTATCTAACCATGCAACAGGAAGTAACTTTCCACAATAGTGATTCTGCCTCTTGGTTCCGCTTCAGTGAACAGCTTTAGAAAGACAGTTTTTAAACCACTTGGTTGAAATCGGTTTTAGGCATCTACAAAACCATATTCTCATGCCATAACATCAATAAGTCAAGTTTGATCTTTCTAATACCTAGGTAAAGAAAGGAAAGGAGGCAAGAAAAAACAAAATGTAAGCATGGAGGAAAAAAAACAAACAAACAAAAAAAACCCACAACAAAAAAACCCCAAACAACCCAAATAAAATAAATGGCCATTTTTTTTTTCTTCAGAAAGACAGAATCTTACGGAAAATCCTTCGTTTGTCAAACATTAGCCAAATTATACATTACATTAAAAAAACTCTTTAAAACAGCTATTGCATCAGCTAGATGTTTACAGATCTGAATATGTCAAAGAGTGCAGCTTGGCAACAAATACAGGGCAAGAAGTTGATCAAAGAGTAATACTCAGACCAAGAAAATATACAAAAACTATTGAAGAATATGAACTAAAAGTGCTTATTACCTTTACAACTTTATAGGTTAATCGGCAATTTCATAAATATTTAGAACTACACTGACTCATGATTTACTTGATCGAAGATTCACTGGAAAGTGTTTCTTGTTAAAAAGAAATCAGTCAATTTCTAACATATTCCGGCAAGCTAATCACCAAGACCACATTTCTTGCCATCTTTTTTCCTCAGATTCACTTCCCAACATGAAAAAGTAAAGAATTTTGGAAAAGAAGATTTTATTAGTACTGAGTTTTTAATTTGGTTAAACAAAGCCCAGAATTACCCACAACGACAAAAACAAGTTTCTTCATTTAGTGATACCAAAGACAGATTTGGCAAGTTCTTCAATGAGATTAGCTCCCCATGGGATACGAAGACCCACAATATTGATTTTTTGACTAAATCAGTAAAAGAAAAGTCTTCTAGGTGTCGCAGAAAATAAACAATTGCAAGGTCTAACAAAGATGAAATAGACAAAAAAGTTCACAAAGCTAGTGAATTTTACAGAATAAAATCCAGTTCTAGCAACAAAACTAGAGTGTACCAGAGTCAAACATGGCTATTTTTAAGTGATACATTATTTAAACAGATGTGTTGCAGATGGCCTATTTTTATTTTGTTTAGTTTGCTCTTCAGCCTAAGAAACAGCTTAAGTATCCAAAGGCCTATTTTGACGGAGGAGCTGCATACCTCAGTACATTTCACATTTAATAAGAGAGCAATAATTTCAAAATTTGGAGGCTATATTAATGAATGACTAATTAGCTACAACTTGTAAACTATTCTTGTGGCTTTACCAATAGTGCCTTCAGGCTGTTAAAAAAAAAAAAAGTAACTGCTGCAGGAATCTCCTGATATATCAAGTTACAGACTTACGCTTGGACTTTTCCATCCAGTAGTAGTACAGTTGGCTTAGGATCCATGTCGATATACATTCCAAAATGATCCTGTAACTTGGGTGACTCCACTCAAGTTTTACGCTGTTGTAAACTCATTATTATAAATTATTTTCTCCTCACCTCTGGTTAATCAGTGCTTGTTAATAGGGATTGAAAAAGTAGCAGAAAAACTCTATTAATATATGATGCTTAATTCCAGCATTGAAGCACAGTATTTATTTCTATCTCAGTAAAAGCTGTATGATTATGCCATGCCAGTGCTTCCCCACTAGAAGCTTCCAAAGCAGACAAAGACGACAGAGCTAGGACATTTGTTACTTTAGGGCAGTGCACAGATATTAAGAGAATCCATGGCTATCCATGTATGTATGTATGATTGAATGAAATGTCTTTAAACAGAATCTTTGAAAAATGAAACATTTACTAATAATTACAGTAACATGCCTAGAAAGCAATATAAAGCATTATGTCTTTGCACCTTCAGCATTCACTCTTAAGTTACAACCCAGATATCAATCTGTTCCATGGTAGATCACTTCAGATATGCCCAACAAACTAAGTTCAAGCATGATTTTGGTTTTACGTCATAAGCAAAAAAATAAGCCATATTCATCAAAGCCAGAAGGGGGTGCTCTGAATAACGGAGGTGGGGGGTACTGAACTGAACATTTGCCTTCTGTTAGGAGAGGTCAGAAGAATGCTGTCTTATTTTAGTTTGGGAGCTCACTTAAGTTCGGTGCCATGCTTTTTACAAATAAAGGAATCCGAAAAGCAGGAGTGCTCATTTTAGCAAAAATGAAATGCTTCGGTTTGTGCTACTGTCATCACAAGGGCAAATTAATCTGTGATAGAAAACTAGCAACACAAAGATCTGGCAAGTGTTAATTTTAGTTTTGTAAACCATGACTTCCAAGCTGTTTAAGATACTGACAAGGAGATACATAGAATGCAAAGAAATCCAAAAAGCCTGTGCTACGGTTTATTTACACAATGCCTATTCTGACATAAGTAGTTCAGGCCTTTTTAACGTGACTGTGCTGAGTTGATACCTTATACTGAACTATGTCCTGAAATTAAAGAAACGGCCCTGAATGATCATTCTGCAAGTGTAATACAGTATTTAATCTCTGCCAGCACACTGGTGCATCAACATCCCCCCCCCAAAAAAGAGAAAAAGATACGTACATTCCAATCAAGCCTCTCTCAGCGGGGCTCACCCAGTTCCCCTCCTCGTTCCCTCCCTTCCTCCCTCAGCCCAGGCCTTGCTAGGTTCCCAAATCCCATTTGATTTTAGGTTTCATTTTGTTGTAAACAGCAAAACGAAAGGAGAAAGCTTCCAAAGCGAGGATCCTTACCCTTGAAATCCCGCCATGCGCGCAATAAGGAGGGTGAATATTTTTTCCTCTTTTTTTTTTTTTTGGATGGGAGATGAGGGGGGAGGGGGAAGAAACAAAAGCCTACGCGGAGAGGAGGCTAAGCGGCGGAGACAGAGGGAGAAGGCGGAGACCCTGGTGGAGGAGCAGGGCGAGCGTCAGCCATGTTGTGTGTGTGTTGGTCCAGTATTTACAAACCTGCAGCTGCAGCAGCGCTTGGAGTCTGGGAGAGAGGGGCACGAAGGGAGGGAGAGAGAAAGGCGAGGAGGGAGGAGAGGCCGGCAGAGAGAGAGGGAAGGGAGGGACGGGAGGGAGGGAATGAGGGAAGAAGGGAGGGAGTCAAGGAGGGAGGGAGGTAAGCGGCGGCAGCAGACAAAGGATCCCAGCGCAGCGCAGCGCGCACTCACACCCCCGCGCGCGCGCGCGCGCCCGGGGCGCCTCACGCCGCGGCAGCGCTGCCCGCAGCCCCCGCCGCTGCCCCAGCCCGGGCGGCGGCTCCCCCTCCGCCCGCCGCGGCCCCGCCGCCGCCGCCGCACTCGCGCCCCCTTCGTCCCGCTCTCCCGCGGCCGGGGAGGGGGCGGGGAGCCGGGGCACGCTTCCCCCCCCGCCTCCCCCGCCGTGCGCTATCGAGGGGGGAGGCTTATCTGCCGGCAGCCCCTCGGCGGGCCCCAGCCCACATACAATAGCTCCGCAGAGGAGATCGGGGAGGGGTTTGGGGGGTTGGGGGGGGCGGACGCCTCCCCTCCGGCAGGGGACGGAGGGTGGCTGTCGAGCGGGGCCCGTGCCAGGGGAGGGCGGCAGCCCCCCCCCCCGCCCGCCCGGAGCCCGGAAGGGTGGGAGTTGCCAGGCAGCCGGGCAGAGACGGCAACATGAGCTCGGGGCCCCCGCGGCTTCCGGGCAGGCCACTGAGGCGGGCGGCGGGGGCGGGACAAGAGGGGTGCCGGGCCACGGCGGCGGAGGGGGCGCGGGGCCGGGGCACGGGCACCGCGGGTGGGTACATCATGTCAGCCCCGCGGGAGGGGGAGGCTGGGCAGGGCCGAGCGCTCTGGCTCCGGCTCCCCCCACAGCGACTCCCTCCGGCTCTGCCCGGTACTGGGCCGGGCCAGGCCAAGGGCGGCGCGACGGGCTGCGCTCCCCCCCCAACCCCCCCCCTCCCTTCGCCTCGCATCCCCTCCCCCGCCTTCCCCACTCGCTCACCTGCCGGCGGGACGGGCGCCCGGGGGTGCCAGGCGGGCGGCCCGGGGGTGCCACCGCAGCAGCCGCAGCCCTCCGCCTTGCCAGGCCGCTCAGCTCCTCCGCGGCGGCAGCGAGAACGGCCGCTCCCCTTGTCTCGTTTGCCCCCCTCCGCCGCCGCTGCTGCTGCTGCCTCCTGCTCGCCTCTGCCACATTTGGATCCCCCTCTCCCTACGCGAGCTCCGCCGCCAGGATAGAAGCCTCCTCACCTTCCTGCCAAAAAGTGAGCCGCCCGCATCGAGCCGTTCAAAACACAGGGCCGGGCCCCGCCCTCCCCCTGCCTGCCCCCGCCCTGCCCCTTCCGCCGGCGCGCAGGCGCACTGCGCCGCCCGAACTGCGACAGGAGCGGAGGAAGGGCTGCTCCGCCCCTCTCGCCGTCGCCGATCCCACTGCGCCTGCGCGGCCGCCGCGCCGCGCCCCACCGCTCCGCCCTGCTCGCTGCCGCTCTCCGCCCCGCCCCTCACCGTCGCGGCGGGCCTGCGGGCCGCTCCCGGGGCCTTCTGGTGGGCGGCGGACCGGCCGCCGGGCCGCCTCGCCCCGAAACGCGGCCTGACCGGCCCTGCGGCGGTGGGCGGCCCCCTGCCCTGCCCTGCCCGGCGCTCCCAGGGCCGCCTCTCGGGCGGGCCGCGGCGGCCGTGCCGCTCGCCAGCAGCGGCTCCTGCCCGGGCCCGGCGCGGGGCCGCAGCCTACCTGGCGCCCAGGGCCGCGGCGGGCAGCCGGAGGGGTTTTCATGGGGACCGGCCCTTCGCCCCGCGCGTTTCTGCGGTGCCACTGCTCGTCTTCCAACCCTTGAGTAATGTTCGGGTGATTTGGGAAAGTGGTTGGTCGTCGTGTTCTTACAAAGAGGCCCGAGAGTGTGCAGGTACCTGAAAGCTGACGCATTTCACCTGACTAGGCAAAGTGCGTGTAGGGGCTGTCACGTTGGTTCAGCGTAGTCTGATCTCTGAAAGAAACGGAAAAGCGCATTTTGCACTAAATAATTTTCTCGTTGCGAGAGGCAACATTCTTGGGATGGAGATGGAGTAGTCCCTAAAGGATTCCCATAAAAATGTGTCCTTGACATCTGTGGAACAGGGAAACAAGGGGTGGGGTAACCCTTCAAAATCCCAGTTGAACAAAAGCACTGATTACTGATTCTTCACACAGGCTTGGTGGACTGTCCTGTGTGCTCCCGCTTCTGGCTTGAATTGGCTGACAGGCAATACCCAAGAGGGCATTTGGTGGAAAACCTGCAAGTAGTCAAGACTTGTTCAACAACTGCCAGACCACAGAGAAGTGTCATCTTCTGAACCATCACTGTTAAATCCCAGGATATCTAGAAGACAAGCAGCAACCTTAACTGTCATGAAGAGCATTTTCTAGTTAATGAAATATGCACAATCTAGACAAGGAGGAAATTCAGTAAGCCATACCAGAAATTTTCAGAGAAAACTCTGTGTAAGCCCTTAACCGTAGGGAAGAAAAAAGTTAAATAATCTCTAAGCATTCCGATGAACGTGTGATACAGTGTCAGCAAATCCAACAGTTTGGTGCATCATTCATAGATTTTCAAGAACAGTTCATAGCTTCAGACTGACAACAAAAGGGAAACGTTAGTAAGATTATGTTCTCCACAAATCAGATGGGTACTTTTTTTCTAAGTAGGGTTTGGCAAATGTATCATTACACAACAGGACTTTTTCAGTTACAACAATGTAAGACAAACTTCCATTCATTAGGGGAGCCATAAAGTATTGCTATGGGTAGAGCTTTTCCATGTGGCTAAGATCCCTATGTTCCCTTGGAGTCCAATAAATTAAATTCATTTGGGGAGAGGATGATTTTGCTCATAGGGTGGATACACATTTGGGATTTCTTAGTTTGACAGTGGCAAGTACACAGGGTAAGATCCAAATTCCCTATTCACGCTCGGGGATCATGTTATGCATAAATTCAAAGAAAATAAAATACAGGAACATGAATGTACAGGCATACCTATTTTGTTTATAATTGTTATTGGCAAAACAGAAGAACAAAGAATTTTATCCTTAGCCAGTCTTACATAAATCCACAACTTTCATCACAGCAGGACTGTATCCGCAGTAATTCCCCTGACAAAGGGGTCCCCCAGATTCCGGGAGATTATCTGTTTACAATTTAAAGAAATTTACAAGGATAGGAAGACTAACTAAAAAGAGATGTTTCTGAGAGCATTAGGAAAAGAGAGGGAAAGCATGAAATAGGGGATAAAAATTGGTAAAGATGAGGGTATAGCTTAATAATGCTATATTGTCCAAGCAGGGTTGTAAAATCCATAACCACACCTGTATATCACTGGAGTATTATAAGATAGCTGTTAAGATAAGCAACCATTGGTTGAATTTTCCTGAAATTAAAAGAATCATAGAATGGTTTGGTTTGGAAGGGACCTTTAAAGGTCATTTAGTCCAACCCTACTGCAATAAGCAGGGACATCTTCCACTACATCAGTTGCTCAGAGCCCTGTCCAGTCTGGCCTTGAATGTTTCTGGAAATGAGGCATCTACCACTGTAAAGGACTGTGTCTAGAAGATGTTTATACCAATGAATGTCTGCCTCAACATTGCTGGACTGTGTCAAAACCCCCAACGGATGTCTGCCTCAGCATTGTTGGAGCACCCTACCTCCTACTAAGTTTCTGATGCTTTAGCAAACATAGTTACAGAAACTGCTACACCCCCATAAGCCCAGACATCCATGTAACACTACAAAGAACAATACATCCTTGAAGGTGAAGGAAGCAGGGCAACCTTGGAGATAAGACAGAGAGACCCTGAGCTTGCATCAATCCTGTTAGACCAGTTTGAACCACTTAAGGATGCAAATCCAATTAAAGTCAAACATTCAATCAGGAGGAAGATGCAGAGCCTTCATCAGTTGACCACCGAAGGACACCCTACCACCACGACCACCACCACATTTGATAGAGCATGTAAATGATTTACTGGAAATCCCCAAACCTTTCCTGGAAAACCTATGCATATGGATAACCTCACCCTTGCACATGCGCCCAGACCCAGGGATGGAAAAAAGACCCTGAAACCCCCCCCCCCGCCCCCCCCATAGAGACAGTATTGGGCATGTGCACCATCACTGAGTGGTGAGTGAGGGCGAACAAGACAGTTTTTAGGATATGCCAATCAATTCTCAGGAGGAGCGACAACACCTCAATATAAGAGCCATGACAACCAGTATCAAATGGAATTCCCTACCTGAAGTCCATTAGGACTGATGGGACTCTGGAGCTCCGTGGTGGTAGGTATTGCATCTTTCCTTTTTTTAACTCTTCTCTCTCTCTCTCACACATCTACGCAAATATTGATGTAACTAATAAACTTCTTTATGGCATTTGACCTCGTTTGGCCTTAATCTCACCCTGGGAATAACAACGAATCTCCCCTGACTGGACTTTTCCAGGTCAGGACAACCACCTCTCTGGGCAACCTGTTCCAGTGTTTTATCACCCTCATTGTAAAAAATATCTTCCTTACATTTAGTCTGAATCAACACACTTTTAGTTTAAAACCATTACTCCTTCTCCTGTTGCTGCAGACCCTACTAAAAAGTTTGTGACCATCTTTCCTGTAGGCCCCCTTTAAGTACTCAAAGGCTGTTCTACATCTCCCCCAGAGCCTTCTCTTCTCCAGGCTGCAGAACCCCAACTCTCTCAGCCTGTCCTCGTAAGGGAGGTGCTCCAGCCCCTTGATAATTGTGAGTTCCCCTGGACCCGCTCGAGCAGGTCCACATCCTTCTTATGTTGGGGGTCCCAGAGCTGGACACAGAAAAATTGGTATAATTTGCAGTGTGTCAGACTGAATCAGTGCTTTGCAAAAGGATGCCAAATTGTGGTCCAGAAAAGGAAAATCGATCATTTGTACTGTGTTAGGTGCAAGCCTGGTTGCAGCTGTAGAAGCTAGAGATCAACAGCTCGTGGCAGAATTACAAATTATACAGTCTCTACAAGATTTGGTGCAGTCCTTAAAAGGATGAGTAAAGATTTTAAAGGAACAATTGGCAGGGGAAAGAACTCAGGTAAACTACTTGCACTCTGTTTTGATAGAACAACTCCTTACAGGTGAGGAGAGTGTTAGACCTCCGGAGAAAAAGATTGAATACCCCAATCAGTATTGAGAGGAGGTGAAACTAAGATTGCACAAAGTGGATGTTACACCAGTTTTTTGAGACCCTTGGTCAAAACTGAATTTAAATATGAGGATGATGGGGACAAATTTCCCCAAGTTACTACTGAAGAAATTACATATTCGGCTACTGAACTAGCTAAACTGAAAAAATATTTTGGCTGTTTACCTGAGGAGTCAGAGACAGAATATGTTTGGAGAGTGTCATTGTCTGGAGGGGACCAGATACAGTTAAATGAAAAAGCAGCTGAGAGCTATTGGGGGACAGAAGTGTTTCTAACCACCGGAAACTGTAGTGCACCTTGGTCCCTAACCCAGATGGCAGACTATTGGGTTGGGGGTCTTAATCCCTTGGAAAGGGGAGATCCTCTTGCAATCGTAGGAACGATTAATTAATTAGTAGAAAGTGTGTAAATTGCAGCATGTCTGCAAATTATGTACAACCAAGAACTTGAACCTAGACACAAATCCCCAGTGATGATGCCGGTTGATCCAGAACGAATGACTCCTCTTATAAGGGGACTCCCTGATTCTCTGAAACCTATTGGCATTCAATTGCAAGGAAAAATACAGCAATGTCCCGGGGGGAAAGGGCTATTGCTGCATTAGAAGAAATCATGACCTCTAATCGTTGACCTCAGGAAAAAAAAAAAGTATGGACTTGGGGAGAAGTCGCTCAAGAATTAATTAATTATCGGCGAAAATATGGCCCTGTGGCCACTCTGCTCACCAAACCAGATTTGAAAGTTTTAAGACGCACAGAATTGAAATTTCCCCCAAGCAAAAATAAAGAGACATTCCCTGTAACATCATCTGGTGGCAAAGAAAACAAACACAATAGCCTGTGGACCATGGGATGGTGGAAAGGCATTCCCCAAGAACTTATGAATGGGTTGCCAACAGATAAATTGGAAAAATTAGTACTAGGATGGCCTAAAAATCCACAAGTCAAGGTCGAGAATCCTACCCCTAGTGCTCCTTTGTTGGATCTAACCACCTCCCCCAAGGTGCCGGGAAACTAATCCCTTTGCCCACTTGTAGTGAGTGGGGAGGCCAAGGGTGAATGCACATTAGAAGGCTCACTGAAAACCACCGAGGTGATTTATTGATTACTTGTTTTGTAGAACCTAAGTTAGTACCAATAACATTTCTGGTAGAGACTGGAGCTCAAATTTCAGCCCTTAGAATGGAAGATGCTATACAAAGCGGCATCACTTTGTCTAAACAACAGATGTTGCAGATGCTTTTGGTAATGTCTGAGCACAAACAGTGGCTATTCCTGGTTTAAGGTTACCTGGGGAGTATGCAGCCACTTTAGCAACAACAGTTGTGGGATCGTTTCCACTTAACCTTTTAGGACTTGGATGTTCTGAGGAGAAAAATATGGACGGATAGTAAGGGGAGAAATTGGACATTTGACGTCCTATCAATTGACATATGGCTATTACATACCGCCCTCTCACTTCCTCCTTCACGATTAATGAATGTCAAACCTTGCCTGTTGCCTATAGGTGCATGGGAGGGAATTACCCCAGTATTGGAGGAATTGAAGGAACAGGGAATTGTAGTGCCGACCCATTCCCCTTTCAGTTCTCCCATGTGGCCTGTTCAAAAGGAAAATGGAGATTGACTGTAGACTATTGGAAACTTAATGCTAATTCAGGCACACAAACAGCCACTGTACCAAACATTGCTGAGCTCATAGCATCCATCCAGGAACAAGCCCACCCTATTATGGCAACTACTGATGTCAAAGATGTTTTTTATGGTCCCCCTGCAACCCTAGGACCAGGAATGCTTTGCATTCACTCAGGAGGGACAACAGTTCACTTTTACCCACTCTCCTCAAGGATACAAGCATTGCCCTACCCTAGCTCACCACGCTCTAGCGCGAGAATTGGAATTGATTCCTTTGGAGGAAGGAGTAAAAGTTTACCAGTATATTGATGATGTGCTTATAGAAGGAAATCAGGTAGACAGGGTTTGAGCAATGCAAGACAAAATCACTTCACAGTTAGAAGGCTTAGGACTGAAAATTCCACTTGAAAGAATTCAGACACCAGCAAATGAAGTAAAATTCTTAGGGATATGGTGGAAAGGAGGGATGACATGTATTCCTCAAGATATCCTTTCTACATTGGACCAGATAAAAATGCCTGAAACAAAGAAAGAGCTACAACATGCACTAGGATTGCTTGTGTTTTGGAGAAAACATATTCCCGATTTTTCCATCAATGCAAGGCCTTTGTATGACCTGTTGTGAAATGGAGTGTTGTGGGGTTGGACCCCACTCCATAACGAAATCCTGCAATTACTAGTGTTTGAAGCTAATAACTATCAAGCTCTGGGTCCGGTCCATCCTTCTGACCCAATCCAAATTGAATGGGGATTTGCCCAATCAGGTTTATTGATACATCTTTGGCAAAAAGGGCCCGAATGACCCACTTGACCTATAGGGTTTTATTCTCAAAGCTCTAAGGATGCCGAGAAATGGTATTCTACCTGGGAAAAAGGTTTGCTCGTGGTTAGCCTAGCCTTGCAAGAAGATGAACACACCATACATAAACAGCCAATTGTGCTTAGGGGTCCCTTTAAAGTAATAAAACCCATATTGGCTGGGACACCACCCCCTGACAGGGTGGCACAAAGAGCTTCAGTAAGAAAATGGTATGCTCAGATAGAACATTACTGTAATATCTTTAAAGTTTCAGAGGGTGCAGCCAAAACCCTTACTATTCAGGAAAGAGCTGCTTTAGAAGCTGAAAATAGTACAACTTCCCCTGTGGTGCAAGTTGCCCCCCTGTTTTCAGAACAACTACAGAATGTTTGATTTATGGATGCCTCTGCTAAAAGAGAGGGCAAAACATGGAAATATCAAGCTGCTGCCTTGCAAATAAAGACCAAACAAAAAATCATCACTGAAGGGGAGGGTAGTGCTCAAGTAGGAGAACTGGTAACAGTATGGAGTGTGTTTCAACATGAGGCACAATCTACTTCTCCTGTCTACATCTATACTGACTCTCGCTATCTTTAAGAGATCTACTGAATGGCTTCGATTTTGGGAACTGAATGGGTGGGAAGTCATCCAACTACCTGTATGGTAAAAAAAAAAAAAAATGGCAAGATATTATAACTATTGCAAAACAAGGAAATTTTGGAGTGGCATGGGTTGCCTTGCACCAAAATGATCAAACCCCAACCAGCTGATGGAACAACAAGGCAGATGAGTTAGCTAGATGTGCTCCCCTACGAAGTGATTTTAGATCAGAAGACTGGGAAAGGTTATTAGAATGGTTACACCTTAAAAGGGGGCATACCGGAGCTAAGGATCTCTATCAAGAGGCCCAAACTAGAGGCTGGCCGCACCTGCATCTCTGCTTGTGAATAATGTTGCATTCGTTTAGAGAGACAACCATTGGTAGAGGCACCCCTACATTTAAGTCAAGGGAAGGGACTTTGGGAAGCTTGGCAGGTAGATTATATTGGTCCATTCTGGAGATCGGAGGGTAAACATTATGCCTTGGTAGGAGTAGAGATAATATCAGGCCTGGTTCAAGCCGAAGCATTTGGATGAGCTACAGGAGAAAACACAGTGAAAACCTTGAAAATGTGGTTCAGTTTTCTCCCTAAACCACAGTCAGTTCAGTCAGATAGTGGTTCCCACTTTACAGCCAAAGTAGTTCAGGACTGGGTGGCGGGAGAAGGAATTGTATGGGTTTTTCACACACCCTGCTATCCCCAAGCAAATAGGATAGTGGAAAGAACAAATGGACGTCTCAAGTGTTTTCTCAAACCCTACGAATCAGGGTAGTTAGAAAGATTATGGGATGCCGTTGCTCATATCAGTAACCGATGGGAAGTAAATGGATGCCCTAAAATCACAGCATTCTGCCCAAAGGCTCAAAGCCTGATCCCAAGTCTCAATGGCCCTGACCATCGCCAGAATCCCCCTCATTCTCCTGGCCAACCAGTGTTGGTGAAATTACCCACTATTGGGACTATACCACTGGTACTTGAAATTCCCATGAACAAGTATGCTTAGAAAGTGAAAGATGCCCATGGGAAGGAACACAAAATCAATACTAGGTGAATTGTTCCATTTTTTTAATAACCACCTACTTCCGATTCCTTAAAACGAACTGAGTTGTTTTTTGTTGGGTTTTTTTTTTTTTCAGATAAAATTTTTGATGCCTGCCTGAAGAAATACACGAAGCTATTAATTGTCTGCATAGCTCTTGTGGTAATTGCTTTGTTAATATTTATAGGATGTTTAGCATATCATTGCAAACATTGTTTTGGTTGGCCATTATTGCTGCCTTTAATATTAAAAGAAACTCCTGTGCCCCCCTTCTCAAACTGGGGTGGTGAAACAGATTTATAACTTTAGGCTAGCAGGTGGCCAATGCTTTTAACTTGACAATTTGTTGGGTATATGGGAGTCCTTTAGGATTTAAAGACTGGACGTGGACGTCAAAACCAATATCCCCAAAATGGCTCGTAATTAATTTAAGTGATATAATGGTTGGTAATGAGTCACTATATTGGAACAAGGAAACAAAACCATGGAAAATCCAGGTTCCAGAAAAGGGAGAATATGGTCTTAATCGGAATGACAGCTATGGAGTTTTTGTTGGTCATAGTGTGTGTAATTGGACATTTAAGTATGGAAATCATTGTATTATCCCTGGGTGTTGACCCATTAATTGTTCAACTTATAATCACTCTTTTCCTGTCAAAGATGACATGTTATGGTATATGGTGATCAACACCACTGACGAAAATCTCATCCCTCGACAGTTATGTTGGGCATGGGTCGATGAAGCCGGACATAAAAAACAATTTGATAGCTTTTGGTCTAACCCTTTGACTTGTGACATAAGTGGCATAACCAACCAAATAGTAACCATTAGGTGTAACTACAGCAATCAGGTAGGAGCATGGAAATGTGATCTTTAGATTAACGGAGTAAAATCAAATAATAGAATTAAGCACCCTTTGGGTTTAAAAAACACCACTTATTTTGAAACTCCTTGTAATTCCGATTTAAGACGCAGAGGGAAAGGACCATTTGTAAATGGAACCTGTGCTTTAAAAGGTCATTATTGGATTTGTGGCCATCATGCATATCGAAAATTACCAAATAATTGGAGCAGAACATGTTATGTAGGCTACATATGCCCCTTCTTTTTATTACCAGACCAAAATGGAAATGGCTTAGGAATTAAGGTATATGATGACATTAATCGGTATCGATGGTCCATTGATAGTTCTGGGTCAGGTGGAAGTAGCCAATCCTGGGGTAGAGATGAGTGGACCCCCCAGTGTATCATACAAAATTATGGACCTGCATCTTGGAATCCTAATGAACCCATTAACAGTGCTCGAGAACCTATGTATAATCTAAATAGTATCATTCATCTACAAACTATCTTGGAAATTATTACTAATCAAACAGCTAAAGCCCTTCACCTATTGGCAGACCAAGCAACTCAAATACGAAATGCAATTTATCAACATCAGATGGTTCTCAACTGCCTGCTAGATGAAGAAGGAGGTGTTTGTGGTAAATTAAATGTTTCCAATTGTTGTTTAAAAATTGATGACAATGGTGAGGTAGTTAAACAAATCACATCTGGAATACAGAAGTTAGCCCATGTCCCCATTCAAATGTGGGAAGGTTGGAACATTGACATGTTTTCCTGGCTTCCCGGGGGCCCATGGGTAAAACGAATCCTGTTTTTTTTGATATGTGGATTAGCCACATTGTTGTTTTTGCCATGCGCAATTCCATATTTTATACAATTATTTCAACATGTTATAATTAACATACAACAAATTTGAGCTGTGCGCTGAACTGCACAGTCAACAATATGGACTATATAGTTAACGTAGTCTTGAAATAAGTTTAATGGACTATTAGACACACAGCAAACAACAATTAATAGTTTATTAACAACTAATTAACTGTATAACAACCTGGCAAAGTCCCACGTGACACAATAAGAGAGAAAAAGAAAGAAATTAAGATAGCCCCACCTGTGAGTTCAGCACAATCCTTTGGTTATTGTCGGGGTGGTGAAGGACCTCCAGTTTTCCATATTTCCTTGTTGGTGTCATCTTCATGTAGTTTGTGTCCTGATTCTTCTGTCCACCATACCACTTTGTCTGGTTCTTGCTCATGGGGGTGATAGAGATGGAAAGATAGAGTCCAAGAAAAAATCATGTGCCATGTGTAACTCTGCCAACAATCAACTTTTTCCTTCTTGAACTATAGATCAATTTCCTGTACCTTAGTTTGAACTTGAGGGTGTCTTCACGGTCTTGGAGGATTGGAAGGAGGAGGTGGTTTTCTTCTGCACCAACCATGAAAAACACATTGACATATTGAAATAACGATGAGCATCATGAGTAGCACAATGAACAATCCAAACAGCAAAGCAGCGCACAATGGATCATCTGTTACTCCCATTCTTCTGAAGCTGCAGTTTGTGGTGAGATGGGTGAGTCAGTTTGTGGCCCTTGTGGTCAAGGCCCAGGCTAAAGGCTCAACCAAGGTTAGGGTCCGCATGCGCAATGAGGGGAGATTTTCTTCCACCCAAAATGCATGCGTAGCCTGGATTTGGACCCAGCCTTGTAGTTCTGTTTTGCCATCCAGGTATAGCAGAACTTTTGAGACCCCCCAACAACACATGCGCTTTGTTAAAGGGGCGTGGAAGTCCATTAGTCCATTTTCCTGCTGCGTATGCTGACCCCGACTTCCAACTCAATCCCAACAGACCAGGCCAGCTGACCGCTTGCCTTGCGTAGGCCAAAACCGCTCTGTTTTGTATTTCCCAAACTGTGAAAACAGTGGAATACATATGATGGTACCAATCTATTATGCAGCTTTATCTTTGTTACTTATTGCTTTATTTGCTCTTGTGATATGTACTTTTTATCCTTGTGAATGTTTGTCTTGTAAATGCTCATGTAAACCATAATTGTCTTGTCAGCTAACCCCTCAAGTACAAGAAACAGCAGTATAACATTTTGGTTTTTTGCAATTGGTTAAAATATAATTGTTAGCTAATGTTCGTTCAATGATAATAGTTATTGTTAGTTATTGTTGGTTATTGAAAATATTATTGTTTATTGAAAATGGTTGATTGAATGCTTAAATTGTAGCTGTTAGATATTGTTAGCTACTGTAAACATGCTATTTCCTTTCCTTCTTCCTTTCTCTATCTTGTCTTCTATGTCGCCACGGAGCATCATCCATAAGACAGCGGTCTTGAGCCATGGGATGGTGTAAAGGACTGTGTTGAGACTGTGATTGCCTCAACGCGTGTCTGTCACAACATTACTGGAACCTCTTGTCTCAACGGATGTCTGTCTCAACATTGCTAGAACTTCATACCTCAGCATCTCTCCAACCACAAAACCACACGTTTCCTGATTATGGAACAGAACTTTCCCCTTACCCTTGCACATGCGCCCAGACCCGGGGACAAGAAAAAAAACCCTGAACACCCCCATAGTGACGGTATTGGGCATGCGCATCACCACCGAGTAGTAGGTGAGGTTAAACAAAACCGGTGACCAGCATCAAATGGAATTCCCCACCTGATGTGAAGTCGCTTTGGACTGATGGGACGCCGCAGCTCCGTGGTGGTAGCTATTGCACCCTTACTTTCCTTTTTTTTCCCTTTTCTCTCCCTCTCTTTCTTGCATCTCCATGAATGTTTATGTAACTATTAAACTTCTTTTATTTATGGCATCTGACCTCATTTGTGTCTTAATGTCACTCTGGGAATAACAGTGGATCTCCCCAGACTGGACCTTTCCGGGTCGGGACACACATGGACTGAACTTTTGCTTTTTGACTTTGAAAAGTCTGAATGCATATGCAATAACGGTTAGTTTCCCTGTTTATATTTGAGAAAGGGTGACTCCCATACTTTCAGCGGAACCAGTTAACTGATGGCAAAAGGCAGGAGAAAAGACTGGGTGGGCTAATGCAGTGGCCCTGTGTAAATCTTTTAAGTTAGGAGTGCTTCACTCTGTTCCTTTCCCCAAATCCATTTACATTTTTTCTGGAGTAGCTGTGTCATGGTTTAACCCCAGGCAGCAGCTAAGCATGAAGCAGCTGCTTGCTCACTCCTTCCACCTCCCAGTGGGATGGGCAGGAGAACTGAAAAAAAGTAAAACTCATGGGTTGAGATAAGAACATTTTAATAACTAAAATAGAATAACATTATTAATAATAAAACCTAGCAATAATAATTTTAATGAAAAGGGATATAACAAAAAGATAAATAAAACCCAAGACAAGACAACTGATGCTAACCAACTTCCTCGGCCACCTCCCTCCAGTTTCTATACCGAGCATGATGTCCTATGGTATGGAATATCCCCTTGTCTAGTCCAGGTCAGCTGCCCTGGCCATCCTCACTCCCAACTTCTTGTGTACTTCTTTGCTGGCAGAGCATGGGAAACTGGAAAGTCCTGAGCTCAGGATAAGCGCTACTCAGCAACAACTAGAACATCAGCATGTTATTAACATTATTCTCATACTGAATTCCAAACACAGCTACTGGGAAGAAAAGGGCAAGCCAATATGGAGGCCTGTAGGGTTTTTTGCAAAAGATTTGATAAAGACTTGGGGAAAATGAATTAAACCTAAAAATTACCATAATGAATAAGCATTGGTTGAGGCTAGAATTTTACAGTGGTTCCAATCTGAACATGCAGGCATTGACCCATTTTGATCCAAGGACATCCCTAAATATCTAGCTTAGTTTTGAACTAACTGAGCCTTTTACCTCCTGGGTTTAAGTCTTGTTTCAATTAGGAGAGCAATACTTCTTCCATAAGTTCTTTGTTTCCTCTCCTTGGTCAGTGAGTGTGTTAAAATGTTACCCACTTACCATTGCCCTCTCTGTCAGTGACCAGCTGGAGCTCTGCCTGTGGATGGATGAGGAGCCAACCAAGAATTTATGGGTCAGGATTAAGGGGAGGGCAGGAACAGGAGACATTATAGTCAGGGTCCGCTACAGGACTCTCAGCCAGGAAGACCGAGCAGATGAGGCCCTCTATAGACACGTAGGAGGAGCCTAACATTACAAAGTCCTGCACAGGGGTCAGAGCAATCCCATGCATAGATACAGGCTGGGCAGAGAATGGATTGAGAGCATCCCTGTGGAGAAGGATTTGGGAGTATTAGTGGGTGGAAAAATTACTATGAGCCAACAATGTGCACTTGCAGCCCAGAAAGCCAACTGTATCCTGGGCTGCAACAAGAAAGGTGTGGCCAGCAGGTCGAGGGAGGGGATTCTTCCCTCTGCTCTGCTCTGGTAAGACCCCCCTGCAGTGCTGTGTCCAGCTCTGGGGTCCTCGAGATAAGAAGGATATCAGCCTGCATAAGTGACTCCAGAGGAGGCCACGAAGATGATCAGGGAGGCTGGGGCACTTCCCCTATGAGGACAGGCTGAGAGAGTTGGGGTTTTTCAGCCTGTAGAAGAGAAGTCTTCAGGGAGACCTTATAGAGGCCCTTCGGTACTACAAGAGGGCCTACAGGAAAGCTGGGGAGGGACTCTTTATCAGGGAGGGTAGTGATAGGATGAGGCGTAATGGTTTTAAACTGAAAGAAGGTAGATTTAGATGATATACAAGGAAGAAATTCTTTACTGTGAGGGTGGTGAGACACTGGCACAGGTTGTACAGAGAAGTAGCTGCCCCCTCCCTGGAAGTGCTCAAGGCCAGGCTGGATGCGGCTTTGAACAACATGGTCTAGCGGAAGGTGACCCTGCCCATGGCAGGAGGCGTTAGAACTTGACCATATTTAAAGTCCTTTCCAACCCAAACCTTTCTATGATTCTGTGATTAATTCTGTGATCACATGTTTTCTGGACTCTGGTTACAATTTTTCTGGCATATGTGATGGATGCGTGTGATAAATACTGGGGGAAGAGTAATAACCTTGAGGGTGCAAGTGGAGGCAAAATGAGTTGCCAGAAAGGAAAAAGCAAATTTATACCAGTAAGCTCAATTCAACATTACAGAAAACAAGCATTACCCACATCTGTCACACTGTACCAACCTTACTCTGGTGCAACTGCTGTCACAACTTCCTTGGTTTTGGCAATCAGAAGTGCTCCCAGGGTTGTACAGTCATTCAAAGCTCTGTAGTCCACTGTAAGCCTGCAAGTCTGATCTGCTTTGCCCACAGTCCATAGGGGAGCATTATGGATAGACAGCATCTCTGTCTATCTTTGGGACACATATGAGAACATTCATTTATGAGATAATCGTATCTGCTTCAATTTTACTATGGTTGGTCTGGTTCCATGTCCAAGCTTTCATGGATTTCCTGCTCAAGCATCATCTGCCCAGTTGTGGTCAGGTATCTTGAGTGCAACCCAACTATGAACAGCAGAAATTACTGAGGATCCTCCCTCGAAAGACCATATTTTTTTTGCCAAATATACTGTAGGACAATTTTCCTTTAGAAATAGTACACCTAAAATTCTTCCTTCTGGGCTCTTGTTAACTTCATTGTGAGTTACTCCCTTTAATTAACTGAGTTGTAAGGGGATGTTTTCCCAAACTGGCTCATGCTGGTGGGCTCTATCCTAACTGCTTAAAGTGGCCTGCACTTGAGTTTTTCTGCCTGAGTTTACCGTAGACATCTTAAAATGTTCATGGATGCTCCTGTGTCTGTTAACGATTGAAACAATATTGTTCCAAGTTCCCAGTCACCATTTCATTTGAGGGTCATCCCCAAGAATCCACGGGCAGAGGTACCAGGACCTATGGTGCTAGCCCACAGGAACCTGGGCCTTCCTAGCAGAACCTACAGACCTTGTCTAGGATTCACTGTTGGGTTGGCCAAACTCACTTTACATACCTTGATATCAGTTCACTAGTGGGGGAAGAGGAAAGTTGCTGTAGTCTGTGCTTCTATCTTTTCACCTCTGTCCATAGACTCTCCATAAAGGTATCAATAGATTTGATTATGGTAAATTGTTGTATCTTCTCCAAGATCATTTAAGTTCCTTCCAGAGTCAAATTCTGAATGGATCTTGTGTGAGTTCAGGAAATTTTGGGCGGGGATTATGAGTAGGCAATGAGTTGAGTTGCACCTCTGCATGGCCTTGGCTTTCTTTATCCCAAGTGGCTTTGACTAAAAGGTGGTCACCTCTATCTAAAGTTTAGATTACTCCATGAAGAAACACTGAAATTTGGGGTGTGTGAGGTTTTCTGCCCTTCTGTCTGAAGCAGAACAAGTGCCATAATTAGAATAAATGACAGTTTGAATAGGCTTACAGGAGTTATTCCCTTGCAACTGACCAGGCCTCCTGATGGTCCCAGCATCCTGCAACAGTGCAATTACTCTCAAACGAGTACTAGGACTCTTTCTTGGGAAACATGAGGCTAAAACCTTTTACCACCTGTTAAAAGTTTGTGTCTGGATTGACTAAAATGCTTAATTATTCCCTAAACCTATGTGTATCTGTGTTAGACAGACTTCCATAAGCCAGATGGGTTACATCTTCACCATTTAGGTGTGGATACATGCTCCACACTGTTATAAATTGAGACCACAATGGATCATAATCCAATTATAATTTTATTAATTATAGCAAGTAGAATATGAGCAAAGACAGCGCTGGACGGCAGGGGAGTCTGCGCTCCGCCAACTGCCGTACTGATCAGTTCAAACAGTTCCTTTTTATACATTTTTACATTCGTGGTTGTCTTTGATCAGTACCCCCTTCTGCTTGCACAAGTATCTGGTTTGTGTAAGCAATTGCGGTTATCTTATCTCACGCAGTCATCTTGTCTCACAGGTTATCTTGTCTCACACAAGTGGTGTCTGGCAGCTATTTGCATAAGCAGTTTTTTTGTCTTTTGCCGCCTAACCTTTACATTGAGCTTAACATAAATTTCAATAAACAATACCCTTAGTTCATAGTTTCTTACAATCCCCCCTTTTTCTTTTATCCTATTATTGTTTATTATATGCTACTTTCATTTTCGTCAC